GATTCGGTTCGGCTGGCCCTCCAACGGCTCTCTAGGCGTCTTTTCCGGCGTTTCATCTCTCTCAGCTCCCCGGTAAACCAGGGAGCCAGTCGAGATCTAGGCCGGGTCAGAGGCCGCAAGGGCACGACTCGGTCTAATGCAGCGGCGGCAGTTGTCTCCCAAGCCGCCGCCTGATTTTCCGCCGAGTCATGGACCAGATGTATATAAGTATACATCTTGATATGGGTAGAAAAAGAGGTAAAAAATGAAGCAGTGTGCTCCCAATTCAAAAGTAGGTAATATTAACTATTAATGTATCTAAGTGATCTATTGTACTCTAAAGTAAACAATTAATAAAATTTCAACAGAATCTTAAATCCTATAAGTATTTCAACCGCATTGTGTTGTACTCAAATTTATTTACTGAACTGATAATGTAGCAAAAAAATTTCCTTCTTCCTCAGGCATATTGTTAAATCTTGCTTTGCAAGATGGGAGCCCTGGTGAAAATAAAGGAAGCAAAAGTATTGCTGTACCATTTCTGAAAAAAAAAATATAACCACTAGTTTTTTTTCCTTATTTTTAAAACTTGGTTTGAAAGCATTTAAATCTGTTTTGAATTTATTTTCCTTCTTTCACCATCAAATATTTCAGGGATTACTCTGACATATTTCTGCCTCTTAATTTTCTCATAATATAGAAAATGATCTGACTGCACTGAATTCTTATTAAGAATAGTGTTTTTGTTTAGATAATATCAATCTTATTCTGTGTATCTCTATAACTTGGCAAATGCTGTTAACTTATTGGTTATAAATTATAAAACAACTAAGTCACTTGGCTAACACCCCCCCCCCAATCCATACCTAATGTCTGATCCTGAACCAGTTTCAGCATGCAAGTATCTGTTCTTTTTAACTGGCAACTGGAAAAACAATCAGAATAATTTTAAGACTACTCAGTTAGGTGGCAATTGAAAGGTGCTTATTATTTGGTGTATCTAGAAATGTATCTTCCATTTTTAAAAACTGTAGAATCTAAAAGACTTTCATAGCTACATTTTATAGTTATTTTATTTCAAGCCTTTGCAGAACCAACTCAGAACCATACAAAGAATCCCATAACTGGGCAGGTATTTACCAACAGGAAAAAAAACACCTTGCATTTACAGCTTTCAGCAACTTACTTATTACCCAAATCTGCTGACTGCCAAAATCTGCTTGTTTGAGCAGATTCAATTAAGCCCCATCAACTTAACTTTCAAATTAGCTTCACTGATTAAGACATCTGGCTTTTCATTCTTGATAATAAGCCACCTGCAGCCAAAATCAGAGCAGATATGCATTTACCTGAGCTTTTCTCCACCTTCCCTTTAGGGAAAGGAGTAGGCCACCAAGTGCTATGTTATAATTATTGGTGAATAATATATACAGGTTAAAAACTATTTAGCTGATACAAATTCTCATATCACAGAATTGGTAGTGGCCATTAAAGCCATGAAATCTAACTTGATGCAGGAATCCAAATTAAAGCATCCCTAACAGATGGCTGTCTAGTTTCACCTTGAAGCTATCCGCTGGGATCTTGTCGTTTTTTTTCAATGTCTTCTACACTAGAAGGGCTCATAAAGAAATCTGCCTCAAGGGTTATAATCCATATGCATTTACATGACACTAACTCATACTGAAATTTACATCTGATTAGAAATCTATATGTGGCATGGTTAGGTTGCAATCCTATGAAGGTTTAACTGGAGAAACTGGATGGAATAGGATGGTTCTGAAGAGCCCTACGGAGATTCTCAGTCATCCAGGTATGGTTGTCCCAAAGGTGCTTTTTTTCAGGAGGCAACTGGACTTTCTTGTGTTTCTTTTGAATTCTGAAGAGGCGCGTCCAGATCTCTGCTCTCATATCTGCAGAATCTCAATCAGCAAATATTTTGCTGTGCTCATCCCCTCTAAATACTGGCTACTATTTCTAAGGCTTATGGCCCAAACCAATCAAACTGAAACAAATTTATCCATAAATAGTCCACTGTGATGCCCAGAGCTATGAGTCCACGAACATCTTCCTTATTGCCCATCAGGTTCCTGTACAGCTGGATATGCGCAATTTCAGCATAACCCATATTTTCAACCATGGTAACGAGCCCCACATAGGCCCCAGAAGTATCATTAGAAAATAAAATGCTATCTTTAGGAGTTGGCCTAACTAGCAAGAAGGAAAGAAAGAAAGACAAAGGCAGTACAAGGCATCCTTAGTAAGTTTGAGGAGATGCAGAACAGATTTATGATTGACCACAAACCACAAAATGGTTTGTGATAGTCATTCTGTGAGAGTATACTATGCTTTCCATCTAGATCGTTCTTGATCTAGAACATTCCAAGATATCTGTTACTTGAAGTCTGCCTCGAAACATTATAAGACACCCCTAAATATGAACAGCAAATAGAATGGAAACTAGTGTATAATTTTATTTCAAATTTATTTTGCAAAGATTGACTCCAGACTTACTACTCCTTGACACCATCTATGCTAAAGTTCCCAGTTATAATAGAATTCCAACCTTGGCAAGTAATACTGTTTCCTTAATCAGAGCTGCACTGCTCTTTGTAATGAAGGTTGATTTGATTAGTCAGAGCAGTATAGATTTTGGTAGACATTTTCTGGTAATAGTTCTTACTCCTTAGAGCCCAGAAGTAAATGAATCCCATTTCCCTGTCTAGCTAAGTATTTCAGGTAGTCCTGAACTTATGACCACAATTGAGCCCAAAATTTCTGTTGCTAAGTGAGACATTTGCTAAGTGGGTTTTGCCCCATTTTATGAGCATTCTTGCCACAGTTTTAAGTTAATCACTGCACTTGTTAAGTTAGTAATATGGTTGTTAAGTGAATCCAGCTTCCCCATTGACTTTGTTTGTGAGAAGCTCAAAAAAGGGGATTGCATGACTCTGGGACACTACAACCATCATAAATATGAATTAGTTGCTAGGCGTCTGAATTTTGATCATATAACTGTGGGGATGCTGCAATAGTCGTAAGTGTAAAAAATGGCTGTAAATCACTTTTTTGTTGTAACTTTGAATGGTCACTAAATGAACTGTTGTAAGTCAAGGACTGCCTGTATCAAGTGGATAGTTGGGACAGGGGTTAAAAGAATTGTAAGTATTGGTACGTTGGGGAGAAAATATTATCCATGCTACAATGGAAATGGGAGTCAATTACTGTTTCACTTATTTTCAACTTAGCTTATCTGAGATCAGGGGTCTCCAAACTTGGCAACTTGGCTGCCCCCAGAGATCAGGGTGATCCCTGATCTCCCTTCCTTCCGCCGCGCCCTTAAGACATGGCTATTCCAACAAGCGGGACTGGCCTAGGGGAATTTTTAGAGGGGTTTTATTCATATTTTAATTAGACACATTTAAATATTTCTTTTTAACTAATTTTAAATTTTGTAATTGTTTTTGATGTATTTTTAAATTGATNATAAGTTCATACTGGAGGTATTTGCTTGCTTTTCTCTTTCTAGTTTAAATTATTTCATCCTTGGTGGCAGTCTCCATGTTAATTTAGCATTACCACATGTCCCTTATTTTGAGGAATGTTTCTTAGTTTGATTTCAAAGGGCTGCCCCATGTTCTACAACTACACAATTCCATAGAATATAAAAATGTTCCTTACGTTACAACACTATGATACCACTAAAGCTGGATTTAAATAAAAATAATTATTTATGAGGTTTCTACATCAGAAAGACAGAAAGAAGAAATGAAAGTTTGTTCTCTGCAGTATACACTTTGCATCCTTGAAGCCTGCAAAACTGTGAAGCCATAACCTAAACCAGGCAGAGGTTGACTAATATGTAAATGTGAGAATGTGCATTATTTTGGGGATCACAATTCTTTCTGCAGATAACTGAGATAGATGAATTAGTTGTAGGTGTGTTGCAATGTTAAAAACTTCTAATTACAGATGGAAGAAGGATGTTATATCAATTCAGTCTTTAGCTCATCCAAATAGAAATTTCCTTAATAATATATTCCTTTTTCCTTCTTGTTTCTCCAGAAACTTAACAGTATTCCCGTTTAAGAGTGTATCCTACATTTGGGGAATAAACTTAGTCATACTTTCATGCTAATTACAGCTGTGGGTAGATAGAAAACTTCCCCTAACATAAAACTTTTTTTAACAAAAAGAATTGGTAAATTGATGGAAAATGTCTGATTTACCGATAGGTAATTAATTTTTTTATTATTGGCAATGACAGCAATGTCATGTAGACTGGATATCTAAGCAAAATATGTAGAGGACCTAACATTCAGATTGTTGAATATTTAAACTTGGAAAACTAAGAGATGGTCTGACTTCTGGCCTACCAACAACATCTCAACCGGGAACAGTAAATCATGGTCACATGATATAAGAGAAGATTGCCATACAGAAACTTCTTTATCATTCAGGGTAGTGTGTGAAATGCCATGAGTATATAAGTATACATCTTGATATGGGTAGAAAAAGAGGTAAAAAATGAAGCAGTGTGCTCCCAATTCAAAAGTAGGTAATATTAACTATTAATGTATCTAAGTGATCTATTGTACTCTAAAGTAAACAATTAATAAAATTTCAACAGAATCTTAAATCCTATAAGTATTTCAACCTCATTGTGTTGTACTCAAATTTATTTACTGAACTGATAATGTAGCAAAAAAATTTCCTTCTTCCTCAGGCATATTGTTAAATCTTGCTTTGTAGGATGGGAGCCCTGGTGAAAATAAAGGAAGCAAAAGTATTGCTGTACCATTTCTGAAAAAAAATATAACCACTAGTTTTTTTTCCTTATTTTTAAAACTTGGTTTGAAAGCATTTAAATCTGTTTTGAATTTATTTTCCTTCTTTCACCATCAAATATTTCAGGGATTACTCTGACATATTTCTGCCTCTTAATTTTCTCATAATATAGAAAATGATCTGACTGCACTGAATTCTTATTAAGAATAGTGTTTTTGTTTAGATAATATCAATCTTATTCTGTGTATCTCTATAACTTGGCAAATGCTATTAACTTATTGGTTATAAATTATAAAACAACTAAGTCACTTGGCTAACCCTCCCCCCCCCAATCCATACCTAATGTCTGATCCTGAACCAGTTTCAGCATGCAAGTATCTATTCTTTTTAACTGGCAACTGGAAAAACAATCAGAATAATTTTAAGACTACTCAGTTAGGTGGCAATTGAAAGGTGCTTATTATTTGGTGTATCTAGAAATGTATCTTCCATTTTTAAAAACTGTAAAATCTAAAAGACTTTCATAGCTACATTTTATAGTCATTTTATTTCAAGCCTTTGCAGAACCAACTCAGAACCATACAAAGAATCCCATAACTGGGCAGGTATTTACCAACAGGAAAAAAAAAAACCTTGCATTTACAGCTTTCAGCAACTTACTTATTACCCAAATCTGCTGACTGCCAAAATCTGCTTGTTTGAGCAGATTCAATTAAGCCCCATCAACTTAACTTTCAAATTAGCTTCACTGATTAAGACATCTGGCTTTTCATTCTTGATAATAAGCCACCTGCAGCCAAAATCAGAGCAGATATGCTTTTACCCGAGCTTTTCTCCACCTTCCCTTTAGGGAAAGGAGTAGGCCACCAAGTGCTATGTTATAATTATTGGTGAATAATATATACAGGTTAAAAACTATTTAGTTGATATAAATTCTCATATCACAGAATTGGTAGTGGCCATTAAAGCCATGAAATCTAACTTGATGCAGGAATCCAAATTAAAGCATCCCTAACAGATGGCTGTCTAGTTTCACCTTGAAGCTATCCACTGGGATCTTGTCGGTTTTTTTCAATGTCTTCTACACTAGAAGGGCTCATAAAGAAATCTGCCTCAAGGGTTATAATCCATATGCATTTACATGACAGTAACTCATACTGAAATTTACATCTGATTAGAAATCTATATGTGGCATGGTTAGATTGCAATCCTATTTATTTATTTTTATTTATTTATTTATCAAATTTGTACCCCGCCCTTCTCCTAGCGGACTCAGGGCGGCTTACAGCCAATTAAAACAGATAACAATACAAAATACTAAATTTAAAATGTAATTAAAATGAAATATTAATTATTGGCCGTTTCTTTTTTAAAATTATTTTAAAACCAAATTAAAATACTCCTTAGGCCAGTCCTGCTAGCTTAAATAGCCATGTCTTGAGGGCGCGGCGGAAGGAGGGGAGATCCGGAATCACCCGGATCTCTGGGGGTAGTTCGTTCCAAAGGGTGGGGGCTCCAACAGAGAAGGCCCTCCCCCTGGGGGTCGCCAGCCGGCACTGTCTGGC